TCCACACTCCCCCAGGCCCCTCCAGAGTGGGGTCCGGGGCCAGCTCCCACCCACGGACACCCACCCTGCCTTCGTACTTTACGGTGGGTTCTCACAGGGGCCTGAGTTTTCGTCCCTCCCCACAGGGCTGTAAGCACAGCCTTTCATGAGACTTTCATGCACACATGCATGCGTGTGCAGTCAGATGCATGGGGCGTACTTGCAGCCTGGGGCCCAGGTGAGCTGCATAGTGCAAGAGGGAGGCGTTTTATACAGATTGACGCACATGTCACATTTACACTCATCCAAAAACTGTCTACCTATGCACACACAAACAAATGTCGATTTTATGTGTATGTGAACAGGTATGAATATGTAAGATAACACATACCTCTCTGCACCCCACATTCCCATCCACACTGCCTGTGGAATCCCCTCCACACCAGCAGTTGAGGCTCCAGCCCTCTCTGCCCAGTGGGTGCAGAACCCCACAGAAGGGACACTCTGCCCAGTAGATGCGGGACCTCATGGTAGGGACACTCTGTCCAGCGGGTGTGGGACCCCATGGTCGGGATGCTCTGCCTGGTGGGTGCAGGACCCCATGGTAGGGACGCATTGTAATTTCTTTCATGAATGAGCATTCATTTTTTGTTATAGAAAACGTGCTGCAAACCCCACTTCCCTGTGTATCTTCAGTTTCTTCACCATTGCCATATTGCTCTCAAGAAGCGGGTGGTGGAACACACAGGCGGGGGAGAACGTTTGTCAGGTCCGCTGGGTCTGCAGCGGGGTGCAAGGCGGCTTTTTTCCTCATTGTATTTCTGTCCGGACGGTGTGCCTGTGGTCGTAGTGGGGTCTGGAGTCTCCTACGTGGTTGAATTGCTATTCCTCCCTCTAGATCCGTCAATGTTTGCTTCACACAGTCCTGCACCACATGATGCCATTTTGGGCAAAGACAGATAGCATAAGCAACAATGGCCTCAGAAGATTATAACACCACACCTCCAGCATGCCTTTCCATGCTTAGACATGTTTAGATGCTGCTGATGGAAGAAGGTAAGTCAAGCTTTAAGGCATCTGCACCAGTTTTATTCAGAAGTCTTTCTGAGGACTCTAGATCAAGGCCTCCAGCCTGGGAGCGGCCCCTACGAGAGGTCCTGCCGGCCCCACACAGGTGCCAGCCCACTGTGGAGATGCAGGTGGCGGGGTTCAGGACACAGAGTCGTGTCAAACTTGCTCAGAAGTTACCTGAGAGCAGAATCCCATCGAGGTTCGTGTGCAGGAGGACATGGGGTTGCAGATGACACAGGCACGATCACGAAGTCACAGGCGGCGTTACATGTAGGAAAGACCAGGAAGGCAGTGACCGGGGTGGCAGACGTGGGGGTGAGGTGTGCTCTGTCCTGTTGCCTTCGAAGCATCTCCAGAGCGCTGCATACAGGGGCTTTGTGAAATGACGCTGGCAAGCAGACGTGAGCCAGCGGGGCTTCTCAGGTTTGCTGCCTTGTCTCCTACACGCAAACAGCACTGCGCTCCAGCTGCCTACAGGGTTCAGCCGTCACGAGCTGTGCAGGTGTGCGGCTTGGGAGCAGCAGGCGCCGCCATCCAACCTGGGTGTGTGGCAGGCTGAACCGTCTAGGTGCACGTCAGTGCATTCCGTGACGCTGGAAGGAGGACATTCACCTAACGATGTGTTTCTCAGGACGGACCACCGTCGGTAAGCGACACATGACTCTCGGTGGGTGCTTGGACGTTGGGTGCATATAGATGGGCATTGGGTGGCGTGGCACTGCCCACATCAGGCCATGTTTGCTCACCCTCCGATTCCAAGGTGCTCCTGTCCAGAAATTTGTGTCCCCCCCAGAATTCATGTTGAATCCTCAGCCCCCACCCCCAGGTGATGGTGTTAGGAGATGGGGCCTTTGGAGGGCAATTAGGTTGTGGGGGTGGAGCCCTCGCAAGTGTCATCAGAGTCCCTGTAGGGGAGATCTGAGAGACCCCATGCCTCTTCCACAGCGAGGCGCCATGTATGAGTCACATGGGCTCAGCACCCTCAGCGTGGCCTTCTCTCCTCTCCAGAGCCAAGTGTTTGGTCATTGTCAGAGTCCCTCTGTTGTTGCTTGTTTACACATAACACACACCTGCTGAGCACCTTGACAAAGGGACCAGCCTCAGAGGTGGCTGACGCTAGGGCACTCACACCCCCCTCAAAAATCACACAGGAACCATTAAAAGTCATTCAATACATACTTGACAGTAGTATATGGGGACCAATTGGAGGCAATGATTATTCACACAAAACCTGCGCTGTGTGGCCAAGACTACAGGACCCAGCCGTGCTGGGAGCCTGGGTGCGGCTCCAGGGCTGGCAGTGGGCACAGCGCACGGTGGCGGCAGGTGGGACAGACGCCTTCCTCAAGCCTTTCCCTCGCAATACAGTCCCCTCCACCCCTGGAAGGCGTGTTACTGGAGATGTAGCATGGAAACTGCTGGAACCACGGTGGAAAAAGAAACCGCTTCGGAGCAAGATTTCCTGAGCCCAAGAAGCCAGTGGGCAGGGAGAAACAGGAAGTGGTGGAGTCCAGGGACCTTCGAGCCTGCGGCCTTCGAGCTGTCCTCTGTGAGCCTTCTGACAAATTCCTCTCGCATGGATTTTAACGCACAGTGCTTCCTCCTTCTCATGGAAGGGTCTTCGTCAAGACCCCAGAAGGCTCCCTTGCCCTCGGCTGAATCTGGCCCCTTCCGGCAGAGCTGTGCCGCCTCGCTGAGGTTTAACATGTGGCCGGCACTGAGCCTGCGGCCCCCCACAGCTTTCTAAATGCAGCAGGGCTAGGTATAGACGTCTCTGATTAAGGCAACCAGGTATAGAAACTGAGAAAAGACATGTGTGTGTCAGTGTAGGTGAACATGTATCACCGACAGTGGCTGGCATTTTGCCGCGGGAGTGTGCACGGGTGGGCCAGTCAGCTGCTGTTCCCACCACCCGGCAATCACCCTTCCTCATGCCTCACAGTGACAGCTGAGTGACGGGGAGATGAGGAAGCCAAGCAGGTGGCAATGCTCGCAGCCTCGTGACACTGAGGAAGCTACAAGGATTCTGTGAAGGCACAGGGAGGCTTCCTAGAGCCCACACAGGACTGACACGCGCACACACGTGCAGACTGCTATTCACAAAGCGGCTTGGACCAGGCGAGCCCAGAGGGGCTCTGGGGCTGGAGGCCGTGGTCTAGGAGCGTGTGCCAGTCTCCACTCCGCCTGAGCTCCTGTGCGGCGGCTGCCTTCACCTGGGAGTGCTCCTTCCCGCTGAAGACCAGAGAATGAGGTCCTCGTTCACCAATAATGAAACAGAGGCCCAAAGAAACGGTTTTGGTTTTGTTGAGAGACAGGGTCTCTTTGGCCCAGGCTGGAGTGCAGTGTTACAATTACAGCTACGCAATCTTTAACTCCTAGGCTAAAATGAGCCCCCTGCCTCAGCCTCCCACATAACTAGAACTATAGGCATGTGCCACCAAGCTCAGCCAATTTTTTTATTTTTTCAATTATTATTATTTTTTTGTATAGAGGGGGGTCTTGTTCTGTTGCTCAGGCTGGTCTCAAACTGCTGGCCTCAAGTGATCCTCCTGCCTCACCCTCCCAAAGAGGTGGGATTACAGGAGTGAGCCACTGTGCCCAGCTCCCCAAAGAAAGGAATTGATTCAGCCGGACCCTACAGGATGCAACAGCTCGCCGGCAGGGGTGTTTGCTACTGGTCAGTCTGAGCTGCAGCCACAGCCCTGAGCACTGCGTATTGCAAGCCCTGTGGGACTGCAATAAACCCCAACTGAGGGGGACTGCAGGGGACCACCCGATCACCACAGAATTCACCCAAATACCTAACTGTGCCCCACAGCGTCCTCGATGCCTGCTTTGAGGAATCCACTTAGGAACCTAGAGAGGACTCTCACGAATGAACAGCAAGCACACAGCACGGAGGAGCCCCCCTCTCAAAGTGCAGAGAGCATGCCGCCGGCTGCTGGAGCCCCTGCTACTCGCCTGCAGAAGCCATGAGCGCCTCAGAAACAAGGAGGCAGCCCCAGCGTGCAGCCCAGCGCAGAGCTTGACACAGACGGTCTTCCGCACTGCGGTGCGCCTCTCTCCTGCCTCCCATGGACCCTGGGCTCAGAGTGCCCTCACTGCAGCACGGGGACCATGGAGGACTGCTGGCTTGTCCCAGGCCGGCCCCGGCTGCTGAGCCCCAGCAAAGGACAGGAGCTCCATCAGGATGACAGGCTGAAAATCCACTCAGCACTTGTGAGAAAATGAGTTGGAGCCAACATTCGGTTCTGCTTCAAACCTCACCTGGTCCCTAGTAAAAACGTCTCCTCTGTAAACGTGCCAACGAGGTGACACCCACCGTTCAGTGGGTTCTCAGCGGTGGGGGCAGCAGGTCCCTCATCTACCGAGGGGCTTTAACTCTGAAAATGGGAAGAGCTGAAGTCCCGGGCCTGGGCTCTCCTGGTCTGAGAAACACTCTTCCCTTGGAGATGGGTATGAAATAGGAACTTCGCTGTTTTACGGCCATTATCAATTACTGAGCTGGGCCCACAGGAAACAAACCCCTTCCCACGTGGGTCCCACATTCTCCAAGGAAATGGACCACTGTGCACTTCTCTCGTAGAAGGTGCCTCTTGCAAAGTCACCGTCTGTCATCCTAGCTCTTATGCGTTGGGTCTGCGCGGAGCTGCCCTGACGTGGAGGCCGGAGGACAGCACGAGGCCCGCTTCACTGACAGACACACACCGCGAACCTGCCCAGGGAGCAGAGGGGCGGCCCCGGGGCAAGGTCCCTCAAGTGCTGCCAGCAGGCCCAGCTGCGCGGCCCCCTGCTCCGGCATACAGCGGCTTCACACACGCTGTTTGCTACCAGCCAAGCGTGGTTCTCTTAGCATGCTGACGCAGGCACACACAAACACACACAGAGATTTTAGGGACGGCGACATTCACCGAAAACTGCAGGAGTGAGATCACTCTGCATGGGGTATCGCTTTCTTTTAATTGAAGTGAGGGCAACACCTGGTCACATCAGAGACGAACAGCCTCGTGCAGGCGGCTGAGCACACTATTGTCTTTCTCGGTTAACCAGGTCCTCACTTCAAGGGACTTCCACGTTCTTTAAAACCACCTGAAGCGGTCCTGCGCAGACTCACGCTGAGGCTCTGCACCACGGGCCTGGCCTGCAGCACAGCATCTCACTGGATGTCATCATCATCAAAGAGATCTTCAAAATCTAGGGAAATAAGCAGAACCACGTATTTACACACACAAGGGTAAGCAGCAAACAGATCACTTCAAAATGAATTCTATGGTAGCTCAAAATGCAGAGTCCACAGTCAACGATCTATGAAATAAAAGACTTTCCCATAAGAGACTTTCGGTTTTACCCAACCAGGGATGGTGGGTGTAGTCTGAGCGTAGAGGGTGAGCGGGACAATCCTGGGAATACGCATGCAGGGCTGTTCTGGGTCCCACGGACATCACCTCACAGCCACAGCTCAGCACTCAGGACACGCCAATGCCGCATCTGCACCCACAAGGGCACGGCGGCCAAGGTGCCGCCCTCGTGCTGGGCTGGGGAGAGACCAAGCTGGGAGGCATGTGCTGGGCCCCGGGAGCGGAGGGAGACCAGCCGCCGCCGCTGTGAGGATGAGAAAGCGGGCTGGGTGTGGAGCCTCCTGTAAGGCAGTGGGAACCACACTCAAGCCCGAGAAACACCGCGAAGGCCCGCTCCTGCTGGAAGAAACGCAGCCAACACGTGTGCGCTGCCCTGGGTGATCAGAATCAGCTCCCCCCACCCGCAGGAAAGATTCTGTCCTTCTGTCTAGTTTTCTGTGTTTTCCAAATTTCCTTCCACAGGCAATGATGGGAGGAGACGACAAAGCTAAAAACCCACCCATATATACTGTCCTGAAAACGTGCAGTACGAACTATGAACTAGAAAGGGAAGTTCAACTCCTGGATGGTTAGACAGAGCAAAGAGGCAGGAGCCTGCTGGTACCAGCCTTCCTGGGGAGGGTGGCGTCCCTGCGGCATCTCTGGCCACCGCAGAGGGTCCAGCTCTCCCCAGCCACACTGGCGTGCCCCATGTCCTCACTGCCTCCTGACTGCTGTTTGTGGCTCTGCCGCAGGCCCCAGCCCTGGCTGACTCCACCCCTCCCAATCTCTGCTCTGCTGTCCCCTCCGGAGAAACCTCCCTCTGCTGTGCTCCCAGAAACAAGGCCATCCACACGTCGCCAGGGCTCTCGTCACGGTCCCGACCCTGCCTGCTGGCTCATCTGGACCCACCACGATTTTGTAAAACGAAGCAAAGGAAGAGAGTGAACCTCGTTCACGGCTAGAATCCTGGTGCCCAGAGGATAACAGCCCAGCAAAACCTATCTGACAAGCAAAAAGGACATGGCAGAAGCCCTCTTCAAAGCCCACAGAGGTCTCTCAAAGAAACGGCTCCTTCAACACATGGGGTTGTCACAACCCGACGGGACAGTGAGCGCTTTGTGAACTTAGCAGGTGGGCGGCAGGGGATAAGAGCTCTCCCACGTTCCCTTCCTGGCCAGCCGTGGCGCAAGGAGACGTGTGCTCACACTGCTCAGGTTGCCCGGCACTCACCCGACAGGTCGGGCCTGGGTCCCTCTCAGAGATGCTTTCCCGCCAGGATTCAGGGGCTGACTCTGAAGTCACATGAACTCAAACACTAGAACACAGTGATCGCCTCTAAACCAGTGGACTGGCAGAGGATGAATGAGGCTTTGAAGGAGATCATCAAAATGCACGCGGGTTGTGCCAGCATCAGCAACTGCCCGATCCTGCCCAAGTGAAGCAGCTTCAAAGGCGCCTGGTGAGCTCGTGTTTTCACAAAGCAGCTCTGGAGAGCACCCCGTGGCTTTGCACAACTGGTTCCCTCTGACGGCAACACCTTCTCCCCCCTCGCTCTGGCATAAAGAATGGAAAGAAATGCTACTCAGGTCTCCAGGCTAACCTCCAATGTCACCTGCCCCAGTTATGACTCTGGTTGGTAGCAGCCAGAATGCTGCCTCAGGGGCATGGCCGGGCACCCTAGGGGAGCCTGCACCCCCACTCAGCAGCCTGGCCACTCCCCTCAGACAACGGCCGCGGACAATAAACATGGTACAGCAGCAGGGATACGGGATGGTGGGGGCCTCGGGTAAGATAAGAAACCAGCGCGGCAAGGTCAAGTCCAACTGTTAACTAGTAACAGGGGCTTTTGTAGAGGCAAACACCATGGATTAAAACAGGATGGAAAACGCCACCTCGCCCTCTGGAGTAAGAAACCTATCTTGTTTACTTACTATTTGAACCCTTAGTAAAGGTTAATATAATCCATAGGAACAAGGCCTTAGGAAATCAGAGGGGAATGAGAGAAATGTCCCCTCTAGCAGGTCTGAAGGTCTTACAGAAACTTTGCTTTTCACTGTTTATTTGGTTCACGCATGTTCTTGGTGACTAGCACTGAGGCCCTGAGATCACACGGAAATGCATCGCGGGTCCTGATTTCAGACGCACTGGTAAAGGGCAAGAGCTGGAGGGTGGCTGTCCCTCTGCAAAGGCAGCTGAGGGCACCAGACCCAGGCAGGCGAACACAGGTGGCCTGGGAGAGGAAAGGAAACTGCCACCCAGAGAGGGCAGACAGGGAGACAGACGGGGTTCCCATGGCCGTGTCTGGGGCAAGGGGCCAGACCCAGCTACAGCCTGAGGTGTCTGCACGCACGTGTTACCACGCTCAAACTCAATTACTGGGCTGCAGGCTGGGAACAATTTCATGCTACTTTTCTCCTGAAAAATAGGGCTGCCTGCCAGTGTGCCCAGCCCACGTCCTTCCACAGAGACTGCACCGCCTTCTGAGAGTGGCACGGGGCCTTTACGGTCTTATGATCCAAACTATCCATGTCACCAAGTTGCTTCACTGCCTCCACCTGGAGAAGAAACATTTAGATTAAACCTGGCGTCCCCATCCCAAGCATGCTTACCATTAAAAAAGTCTGCGTGAACAGCCTTTTCATTGGCTGCCAAGTCCATCAGGAGCCCGGTGCTGCCTCCCGCCTGGGGAATGGAAAGGCAAGGTTACGTCAGTTGTGTTTTCTGAAAGAGCAAGTGGCCGGTGCATTGCAGTGCCCGCCACCCCCACAGGAAAGGAAGGGTGAGGGGAAACAGGCTCCACTTGGAGTCAACATTTTCGTTCCAGACAAAGGAATGTGTACGAGGGGAGGGGGAACGGGAGGGAGAAATTCAAAGGAATTATTTTACGGTCTCTCAAGGGCTTCTGTTCCTTGATTCCTCCTTGCCTTTAAAAAAGAAACCTACCATTGCCCTAAGCACCGCGACTTCTCTGTAACCACAGGAGAAGTTTCTGATCCCCGCTGGACGTCACCACAGAGGCCACAAACATGCAAAACTGAGCCCATCGCCTCGGCTCAGGGTCCCTTCCCACTTTCGTCTGGAAATGAAACCACTTCTGCAAGGAAACTGACCTGCTCTGCCACTGAGGTCCCAGTGACGGCTGCCATCACAGACCGTCCACTGCCACAACTCCACGGCAGTGAAAAAAACCATGTCACAACCCAAACTGGACAATCTGAAGCCCTCAGCATTTTGGATCCTGTTTAGTCACCGGGCGACAGCAGAGTCCTCTGATGGCAGCACCCTGAACAGCTGGCCCCAGGTCCTGCTGCTGCCATGACCCGGCATTCACAAGGCCGTTTGGTCCACCCTGCCCTGGTCCCCACGTGGCTGAATGCTCCTGTTCCCTTTCACTGCTGCTCTCAGAAAAGCCAGGAAGCTCAACTTCCTCCCCGGGCATCTCAGCCTCCCTCCCCACCCCCATCACCACAGGTAGCCATGCACTTTCTACCACTTAAACACGGGCTGGGCTTGTCCCTGCCAGCATCCGCCTCACTTACACATCTTCAACTCTCCTGTTCTCCCTGCTCCCTCACCGCTTCAGAGCAAGTGGGAGCCTCTCCGTCCCCACTGTAAAGCCCTCTGGTGGCTCCACATGGCCTAGGGCTGTGACTTTAAAACAGGACTGAGGCGTGGGTGTACTAGAAGTGCTTGGGGAGCGGCGTGCACAGAGCCACCCTCTTCAGCGTAGCTCCAGACGGTCTCGTGACCTGGTCCCTGCCCACTGCCCCCCCTCTCCGGCACTGCACGCTCCACCATGCTAAAGAACACGACATTCCCTTCCCTTGGTGAGCCGACATTCCCTTCCCTTGGTGAGCCGACATCTCCCGACCCAGGACTCTGCTCCTGCCGGCCTTTATCCCCGCCTCCCTAGCAAACACCAACGTGTCCCAGCATTTGGGCAGAGTCCGCTCAGCTGCACCTCTGCTGAGCCCCCTCAAAGCCCTGAGAGCGCTGCGCTCCGGCTTGCGATGACGCCTGGTATTTGCGACCGGCCGTGCTGCCACCTCCACAGGCACAAGGGCTGCCTCTGACCATCTCTGTACCCGCTAAGTTTTGAGAAAGAGCGCACGAGCCGGCCCGGCACTGCGAGCTAGGCTGTGGCGCTCTCCTGCTGACCACAAACCATCTCACAGAACGCTCGCATCAGACAAGGTCACGCTGTGACCACGACAGACCACCGCACAATCCTGCATGATAAAGAAGAACGAGGCCACTGCGCACAGCACAGAAACGCCAGGCGTGCCTTTCCGCTCCGACAGGCACGGCGGCTAAAAGCGGCTTCCCTCGCCCGGTGCAGACGAGGCCTCATCGGAGAACCAGCGTCGCTTCCAGGCGGCACCCAAGGCACAGCAAAGCCCGCTTTCCTCCCCAGTCCCCGAACACGAGCTCAAACCCACACGAGGGGCGCCCCACGCGCTATGGAGACGCCCCGCGGGCCCCCGTGGGGTGCTGCCGCCACCGAGGAGCGCAAACGGGGCTCCTCGGACCGCAGGCGTGTGGCCGGGGCCTTGGGGCGCCCGCGGGCACCCGACCCTCCGGCTGCGCGTCCTGGCCCCGGGCCGGGCACACGCTTCCCGCCCCGGTCGGTCGCCGCCTGTCACCCGGTGCTCGGAGAAGCGGGGCCGGGAGCCTGGGAGCCGCGCCACCGCCCGCGCGGCCTCCCTTCCCCAGGGCCCGCGCACGTGGGCGCCGCCCTTCCGCTCCCCGTTCCCCGCTCCCCACGCTCGGAGCCTCCCGCCCGGCCCGTGACACCTCGTCCAGGTCCACGTAGGGCCCGGCGCCCTCGGGGAACATCTCGTCCACGGCCGGCTTCATCTCGGGCCCGCGGCGCTCTCGGCCCACTTCCGGCCGCGGGGCCGCTTCCGGCGCGCGCCACACGGCAGGTCTAGACGCCGGAGGACCGCGCCTCCGTGGTGCCCGCCCGCGCGCCGCGCGGTCCGCGCTCTCGCGTCCTGGGTGCTCGGGGCCGCCCGCGTCTGTCTTTGCGCTGGCGAGGGCGGCGTCTGCAACACCCCTGACGGGCGGCCCCGGGGAGAAAAGGCCGCCAGCCGCGGGAGCAGTGCCCGCGGAGCAGGCCTCCGCCACGCGGGGGGAGCCAGAATAAACAGGGAGGCGGGCTCTGCCGCGGAGACGCCGGGGTCACAGGGGCCACGGGGGTCACGGGGGCCACGGGGGTCACGGGGCCCACGGGGGTCACAGGAGTCACGGGGGTCACGGGGACCACGGGAGTCACGGGGGTCACAGGGGTCACGGGAGTCACAGGGGCCATGGGAGTCACAGGAGTCACGGGGACCACGGGAGTCACAGGAGTCACGGGGACCACGGGAGTCACAGGGGCCACGTGAGTCACGGGGGCCACAGGGGTCACGGGAGTCACAGGGGCCATGGGAGTCACGGGGGTCACGAGGGCCACGGGAGTCACGAGGGTCACGGGAGTCACAGGGGCCACAGAAGTCACGGGTCCCACGGGGGTCACAGGAGTCACGGGGGCCACGGGGACCACGGGAGTCACAGGAGTCACGGGGACCACGGGAGTCACAGGAGTCACGGGGACCACGGGAGTCACAGGGGCCACGGGAGTCACAGGGGCCACGGGAGTCACGGGGGCCACAGGGGTCACGGGGGCCAAGGGCCGTGCCTTGTGCGTCTGGCGAAGACACCCACCCGGCCAGTGAGCAGATGAGCAGGCGCGATGCAAGCCAACCCCCTGAGGGGCCGCTGCAGCCGGGGCGGGCCGCGAACCCCCAGCCCGGGCGCCCACGTGGCCCAGCACTCGCTTCCGGGCGCAGGCCCAGCGGGCTGAAAGCAGAGGCTCCCAGAGGCGCCTGGACCCCTCGTTCACAGCAGCGTTATTCATAATCGATGGAAAAGGGAAGCGGCCCGCCCGTGGTGGATAAGCCGAAGTGGTCCACGCACACCCGGGAATATTACTGCGCCTTTAGGAGGGAGCGAGCGCCCACACCTGCCGCCACGCGCGTGGACCTGGAGGCGCTGAGCCGAGTGCAATGAGCCGATCCTAAGACAAACGCTGGCGATGCCGCTCAGCAGACGCCCCTCCGGGGGTCAACGCCTGAGAAAGTTAGAAGCGGGTGTCGGGGTCTGGGGAGGGGGAGATGCGGGGCTTGTGTTTAGTGGGGAGGGAGCTTCAGCCTTGAAGAGGAAAACGGTCTGCAGAGGGAGGTGGTGATGGCCGCACGGCCGAGAATGTGCTTAACACCGCTTCAACATGGTTAACATGGAAACAATTCCTGAAGCTTTACCGTGATTTTAAAAAAAGGCTGTGAATGACAGAAATGGGAGGAAAAGCAGGAAGGGAAGGAGGAGGGAGAACGCTGGAGGAAGGAAGGGAGTGAGGGAGGGCGGGCAGCAGGTACTCCAACTAGACTTTGTCAAAGATCCTTTGTTCCGTGGCCTGCGGAACCTGTCCCAGGCCCGTCTGCCCACATCATTGTGGGCTCCGTTTTCGCAGAGAGCCCTGCTAAGTGGGTTCAGTCAGAGTCCCCACCCTGGATATGGGATCCGGCTCCTGGTCCCCCAGCACCCCAGGGGGATATCTGATCACCCAGGCCTGTCTCCGGCGAGAGCCCTGTGGGGTCGGCGGGGCAGGTCAGCATCCCCCTCCCGCACTGGGTTCCTCCCGTTATTTTCCACCCCCCGACCCCACCTGCTCCTTAGCGGCAACCCCCCTCTGCCTGCGCTGTTGAGTTGAGCCCGGTCCCCCTCCCCTACTGCAAGACCCCGCTGCGGTGGTCCCCACACCCATCCCCAGGGTTCAGAATAACTTCTGAAAATTTCCAATAATGTTTTCTTTAACAGGTCTGAAAGGAGGTGGGGCTGGGGTTAGGGTGTAGAGAACCGGCCAGCAGCGAGGACGGTGCTTCCAGGGACAGGGATGGCTGAGCTGAGATGTGTGACGGAGGGTGGCCCGGGAAGGGGCCGCCTGGCCTGAGTGGACAGTTTGGGATGCAGGGAGAAGCAGGAGTGGACACCGGGTGAGGCTCGTGCCGTGCCAGTGTGCGCCGCCCTGAAGGAACCAGGTGAAAGCCAGTCGGATGGAACCGGGACTGGGCAGTGGCCAACAGGAGCGACCCAGCGAGTCAAGGTCTTTACTAGCAAAGGGGCCATGGGTCTCGGGGGTCTGCTTGTACACCCTGCAGGGATGGGGGGCTCACCACCTGTGCAGAGGCCATCCTGTTGCTGGTGGCCCATCCCTGAGACACCATCCGCGCTGCCCGCCCAGCTTTCTAGTGCCCCAGGGTGCCCAGGTGAAGCCCCTCAAAGCCTTGAGCTGTCCCTGGAAGACGGAGCCTGTCCAGGCCCCACTGTCCCTGACAATGACAGACACAGATAGAGCCTCTCACTTCTCTGTTTCCTGCTGCCTCCTGGGCACTCCTCCCAGGCTGTGCTGTGGTGTGGAGTGCGGCCCCCCAGCGCAGCCACGGCGGTGGGTTCATCTGCTGCCCAGCTTAGTGGCCTGGAGCAAGGGTGCCTGGACTGGAGTCTGGCTCCCCTCTAAGCAGCTGTGTGACCTTAAGTCAGGCAGTGACTGGAGGTCTCTGCCTCAGTTTCCTCACCTGTAATCTGTGGGAACTGCAGCACCCTGCAGGGTCATTGTGGGAAATGGATGAGAGACCCAGTAAGCCAGTCCTAAGCCTGTTCAAGATGTAGGTTCCCTTGTTGATGCCGGTGTGGACGGAAATCGTGCACACATTTACGAAAGAGTTCATGAAAGTGCTCCCTAGGAACCAAAATAAAACCAGCTTCGTTTGTGAAGTAAAGTAAATGGGGCCTGAGCACAGCCGTCCTGGAAAGAAAACCCACAAACAACGCTGGTTGTGCGTCTTCAGTCCGGAGTTTATTGAGAACAGGCCTGACCCCCCCCAACTCCGCGGGAGCCAGAGCTTTGCCGGGACTCCATGCCTGCAGAGGCCCGACCTATGGCAGCCTGGCAGGGCGGGCGGGCACCAGGCTGGACACCAGTCAGTCCTCCTGATAGGGAACGTGGAAGCCCAGGGTGCTCCCCAGGGGGAAGTGCGCGAAGAAGGTGCGGGCCATGTCCTCGATCTGGGGGTAGGCCCCCAGGGCCTGGAAGTGCTGCACGTAGTTCCAGAAGTCAGAGGTAGAGAAAGGCCAGTAGGGCATGGCCGGCAGCTCCGCATAGGGGTCTGAAAGACACATGACGCCGGCCTCGGGGCTGTCCCCGTGGTCCTGCCTGGAGACACCGTCCTTGGAGGCCTCAAGGCAGGTGGATGGTGCCCAGCTGTGCCCACAGTGATATAAGCTTCCCAGAGTGGGGGCCTGAGCCTGTCCCCTCTCATCAGTGGGGTGGGGACCTAGGTCCTTGGGGACGCCTGGTCTGGGAGATGGGGGAAGAGCAGGAAGGGGAAGGGTGGGGAGGCCGGTCTTGTTTGAGGAGGAGGTTGTGTGGGGAGGGAGTGGGGCCCCATCAGCAACCTGGTGGGATTTCAGAGGGAAGCAGACACCTGCCTCCGCCTCCCCCGACACAGCCTGTCCTGGAGCTCAGCCAAGGGCGGCCTAAAGATACTGGACCGACTTAGGGCTCAGGGCTGGGAGGGCCTGGGGGCTGGAGCCCAGGATGAGGGTGGGAATGTCAGGGGGTCAGGGGGCCCCAGCTCCTCTGCCCAGTGTGTTCCCCGGTGGCTGGAGGGCAGAGTCCCCACTGGAAGACCCTCTGCTTGCACAGCTCCAGGCTGGCTCCCCAGGGCCATGTTTTCCACGCTCAGGCCTGAGCTGAGCCAGGGCTCCTGATGCGCCTGCTTGGGGTAAGAAGCCGCTGCCCTCCCCAGCAGTCTGTCCCTGCGCACGCCAGTTACTTATGCAAATGAAAGGAAAGAAATCGGAGACGTTACCCCCTTCCTCCTGCACAGGCTTGGTCCCTGCAAAGGAATAGGAGAGCTGTCACCCAAGAGGACCCCCCAGGTGCCGGCTGGGCCCACCCCACCCCAGCTGCAGGGCTTGGGGGTTTCGAAGCAGCCTGGCAGGAGGGGAGAGAACTGAGGGCTGTCCGGGGCGGGTCCAGGTGGCTGGGTCCCTCCAGAGCGGCCCCTCACCTGCGAGAGGCCCCAGCAGCAGGCAGAGTGCCAGCCCCGGCACCACGCAGGCCCGCATCTTCCCGGCACTTCCCATTCTGCGACTCGGCCCGCCTGCGGTAGGATGAACCCAGGAGGGGCAAGACCACCGGCTTCCTCCACCAGCCTCGGTGCGGACGGCCCTGGGGAAAATGGCATGGATAAAAAAATAATCTTACTGTTTTCCTAGCAGTTTCAGTTTCGGTGGTTTCAAACCACTATTTGGAGATGAAATCCCTGCCTCAGTTGGCCTTAATTTCCACGACTTAAGAAATTGCACCCCCACCCCCCACCCTGCCTGGCCTCTGCAGAGCTGACCTCGCCTCTGTCCACTCAGCGGCTCTGCTGCCGGCCCAGGGATCCTCTTTATAGAGGGACTGGGGATGAGGAAGGACACGTCACCTGCCAGAAGAGCCACACTGAGTATTTCATCCCCAGTGGAGGACTGTGGGCCTCTGCCACCCTGCTGGCAGGCAGATCAGAGCGCCAGCTTCTGGGAATCTGATCCAAAGATCAAATCGAGAGAAAAACATCTTGGCTAGGCCGTTTCTAAAATTGTTAGGACTGAATTCAGCATTGGCACTTGAAACAAAGCCAGCTTCCTCTCCACAAGGAGAGAACCTACATCCAATATCAGGGCTGGCTGTTTCCTCCCTCGTGAGAAGGAGCTGAATAATTCCAGCACTGCCCCCACTTAGACCTGCAGGCAGGAAGAGCCCCAGGTCAGGGGACCTGCCTGCAGGACGTCCATTGAGCAGAGCCTGGGGTCAGGGGACCTGCCTGCAGGACGTCCATTGAGCAGAGCCTGGGGTCAAGGTGGACTTCCGTCTCCAGGCGGGAGCTTCCCCGAGATCCAAAGCATCAGCCTACAGGTGGGCAGGAGGCTGTCCCCACCCCAGGACACCAGCAACTGGCACCAGGGGTCTCTGTGGGCCAGGCCACTCTGACTACACAGCGGCCCCACTGACCCCATGGGTCCCGGTACTCACCTGTCTCTCCTCCTGGTCCCACCCTGTGGGGTCCCACGACCCCACTGAATTCAGGGGTCAAATTTGGTGTGGCAGTTTCCTCTGTTATTCCTGGTCACCCTGCGGGCTCGTTAAGGACTAGGGAAGCTCCTCCCCCACATGTCCCTCGGTTCTGGAGTTCAGGGTCCCCAGCGTCATCACATTCTGCCCACATGTCCCTCAAATGATTAAGGACTCATTTTCTACCCAAACAATGCCATACATTTAACCAAAGATACCCAGAGAGGTGGCTAATTTAATTCAGACTGTAAGGCAGCTGCCCACAGACTGGACTTTGGGTTTCATTTTCAGAAATCTGGAGCCTGTGGCTGCAGGAGGTAATGGACTCTTTCAGGCAGTTATACTGGGGAGGTTTCACAGATGCCCCAGGAGGACTCGGGGCTCAGCATCCTTTCCCTCGGAGCCCACGGGAGGCACCCATTCCCCAGCAATGAGTCCTCAAACTGTAGGAATTGCCCAGGGATCCTGTTAAAATGCAGCTTTCATTCAACAGGGGGGGCCTGGGACTCTGCATCCGTAACCAGCTCCGGAGAGCTGCGATGCTGCTGGTCCCCAAGCACACTTTGGGCACAGAGGCAGGGGCAGTGGCCTCAGCCTGAGGGGGTTAGAATCCCCTGGGGGCCTGGCCGCAGAGTCCCTGGAGTGCTTGATAAGATGCAGGGGTCTGTCTGACCCCCCTCCCACTCAGAGTTCTGATTCAAGGCGTGGGGGCCTGGGAATCTGCATTTCTAGCACGTCTCTAGGTGGCCCTGGGCAGGTCCAGGGCCACCATCTCAAGCAGTGGCTCTTAAGCGCCACATTGGGGCCACCTGGGAGCTTCTGAAGAGTCGGGATTTCCAGCTTCCTAAGGTGAGATTCTGATTCAGTGGGTCCAGGTGAAATCTCTCCCGGTGACTCTGCAGGGTCCCTGTCCCCCGACCCAGCCCCTGCCCCGCACAGTCCCACCCATCGTGGATGCATCAGGGCCTCTGGAAGTCTCGTCTGCGCGGGGTGAGGCGATGTTTACACACGCAGATGGTCCCGGTGGGTCCCAAGCCAACCAGGCAGAGCCGGGCTGCGGGCGCCCCGGCAGTGCAGCGGTCAGGCGGTCTCTGGTGCCCTCTGCTGTCCATTTTGGGAACACCAAGCCTGGGCTAGGCGCAGATGTCACGGAGCCAGGGATGCCCAGGCCTGTGCCCAGCCCGCCTCTGTTTCCTGGAGGAACAGACCAGGCACAGACATTTGTTCATGCTTTAAAATCCTAAAGCCACAGGCTTCCGGGACGTGGGCTGTGGAGGGCTGGGCCTCCTGCCTGCTCCTCCCTGGCCCCTGGTCTTGGTCTTCACTGAGTGCCACAGGCAGGGCGTTTAGAAAAGACAGGGGTTTGTCCAGCTCACTCTTCTGGAGGCTGCGGAGTCCAAGACCAGGCAGCCACCTCGGGGGGGGGCTCGTGCTGCTCCCCAGCCACCGCCACAATGATAACCAGATTTTGACGAGTGTCTGCAGCAGACAGACCTTGTTCAAACCACCGTCCTCCCCTCAGCTGCCCACGAGGCTTCCATGAGCTACTGGAAAGTCCAGGCTGCTCACGTGTCTGGGCTCAGAGCCTGGGCCCCAGCCTCGGACTCGCTCCCAGGTCCCCCCTCGCCAGCCTGCCATCAGGGCCCAGAATCGTGCCCCTGCTTCGGTGCTAGGAGCCTGCCCTCCCCTCCCAGAGCCCAGGACACTCAGCTGGCCTCCTTGGCAGCCCACTCCACCCCTGTGCCCCTGGCTTGTGTCCTCTGTGTCCCCGGTCTCGGCAGGGGCCTTGGCCTCCCGCCTGGCTGTGCCCCGCCTGCTTCCTCTCCAAGCCTGGGTTAGTGCCTGGTCCAGGTCCACCCAACCAGTCCGTGCCAGAGCCTCCGTGCCCTGCAGGCCGACCACCCCGCCGTCCTCGCTGAGCCACGGGGAATGTGCCCTCCCCACCCTCACTTTGCCCACTCGCTTCTCAGCTGCTGCCTTCTGCCCCCTCCATAAACTCGAGGACAGAGCCCAGGTACCCAAGGAGTGAGGGTGAGGGCGCCCTCCGACAGTGTCCTGTGCCAGTTCCCACCTCACCGGTGATGACTGTCCTCGTTATTTTAATCAAATAGCTAAATGTCTTGAATTCTAGTGAACTTGAAAAGAAAGAGCATTTTAGATTAAAACTAATCTGCCTTGGAAAGGCCTACTTACAACGAAAAGCATTAAAAACTGTCACATTAGCTATGGGGATGACAGCTTTCAAAGATTAGAACCAAAATAGTGAAAACCCAGCCCGACCTGACGGGACTGCAGATCACGGGGTGTCGGAAGGATCTTCTCAGGAAACAAAGCTGGGGTGGTGGGGATTTCGGAGGCGCGCTCCCGGGGCGCTGTTCTCAACGGGCTCTGCGCAGCGGGGCCTCCTGGGGTACCACGCGGGCCAGGAGATGGTCAGAGTAAAGCCGCCCCACCATGTCACAAGACTGTCCCGTAAAGGTGGCAGGCTTGAAAGCTAAATTGTTTGAGGTCCTTAAAGAAAGATACGATTCCTTCCTTTAACCGACCCGGAATTTCTGACCAGGCCATGAGAGGCTTCTCTGAAACAGGGGATCCTGACTTGGGGTCGAGTGGGGGTGGGGCTGTGGGGAACCCTGGGGACCCCAGCTGTCCTGAAAAAATACAGGATGCCATGTTAGATGTAAATTTCAAATAATCAATGAATACATCTTTTAGTACAAGTGTGTCCCAAATATTACCAGGGACATACTTCTGCTGACAAGTATCCTTGTCTAACTGAAGTTCCGACGTTACCTGTTTTTCTTTCTTTTTTTTCTTTTTTTTGCGAAATCTGGCAACCCCGTGCAGGACAGAACCTTGTGGCCCTGCCTGGCCGCTGGCTCCATGCCCAGGTTGGGCCGGAAGCCAGGCTTTGAGCACAGGCTGCTAGGGAGAAGGGGCTCCAGGCTCCTGACCAGCAGCGCAGCCCCAGCCCTGGGGCAGGCAGCTCCCGTGCCCACGAGGGTCTTTTCTGAGATGCTTCCTCCTGGAGCTGCAGCATTAAGGTCGTGGCACGAGGGGAGAAGATGGACTGCAGCCTGAACCTCCCTGTCAGCCGAGGCCCTGGCCCAGGACACCCAGGGACTCACGGCTGTCTGGAGCTGGCCTGAGCTGGGCTTGTCACAGAGAGAAGTAAACAGGGCCAGAGAGGCAGGCAGGCCACACTGCTCAGAGCCTCCCTCTTTCCGGCTTGGAGCCAGGGATGGGGACACAGGGCGGGGGAGCCCCAGAAGCCCATGACTCAGGGAGAGAAGCACCGACCTTCCACGTGGGCTGTGGCAGGTGCCTGCATCCTGTGACACAGGACCCGAGGGCCGGCGCTTCTTGGTGGAAACAGCACCTGAGAGGCCAGTGAGGGCCTCGGCGCCTTGGTGGTGAGGCGGTCACGATCTCCTAGGCACAGGGCTGGGCTGTGGTGGCCCGACCTGGCTGCCCTGGAGGAACGAGCCCCGGGAACGGGAGAGGCCCTCGGCCCCCACACCATCGGAGCAACAGAAGGCGAGGTGCTCCCAGTCCTCCTCCTCTTTCCAGAGGACCCAGAGCCTCCAACAGCCACACCCGGCACGCGTCAGCCAGTGTTGTCTTAGCTGAAAAATGTGTGTGTGTGCAGTCTGTGTGTGTGTACATATGCATGCGTGTGCATGTTCCTGTGTGGGGTGGTGTGTGTGTGCACGCATGTATGCATGTGTATTTGTGTTTGTGTGCATGGATGCATGTGCGGTGGTGTGTGGGTGTGGCATGTGCAGGAGTCCATGCCTGTGTATTGTGTGTGTATGGGGCCCTGCATGTGTGTGCTGTGTGCTGTGGGGGGGGGGTTGTGGGTGTGTGTGTGTGTGCATGCCTGTGTACTGTGTCCATGTGCATATGCATGTATGGGTGTGGGTGTTGTGAGAATGTGTGTACATGTATGTGAATGTATGTGCATGTGTGTGAATGTGGTGTGTGCTATGTGGTGGTGTGTGAATGTATGTAAATGTGTGTGCATGTGTGTGAATGTTTGTGAATGTGTGTGTATGTGTGTGAATGTGTGTGGTGTGTGCTATGCAGTGGTGTGTGAATATGTGTGCATGTG